GGAGGCTTGCTGTCTCTATAACCCCACCACATTGGATTGCGGCAACATCTCGGCACGGAAGATGGCTTTGACCGTCTTGCAACGGAAGTTTAACATCTATTACCCTATAGCAACTTGGTTCGCACCCTTCTGGCTAGTGATATATCAAAGGCCTACGACAATATCGCCCACGCCGCATTGCTGGAAGCCATGGTGGCCCTTGGCCTCCCACCTCGTGTCATAAATGCTGTTTATGACTTTATTACCAACAGGACTTTCGCCGTCCGCCTATAATATGTCGAGTCGTCAAACTTGGCATGAAACTATGGTGTGCCCCAAGGCTCAGTACTTGTACCACTCCTATTCAATATTGCATTCCTTCCCCTGGCCTGGGCACTTGCTGATATACAAGCACTTCGGCTTTTAATTTACGATGATAATGTCATAATGGGGTTGGTACACCCATCCTTTGAGGTGCACCAAAATGCCTTACAAAGCGGGCTGAACATCTTAGACCGCCAAGCAACGATCTTTGCCTTAAAGATGTCCCCCGAGAAGTCCGAATTTTTTTTCATGTGTGACAACGCGGCTCGGAAGAAACTGCCATCGACTCCCATGCCTCTCAGGACAGAAGCGACACAGCTACCTTCCGATGGTTGCACAAACCAAGATTTTAGGACTCCTCATCCACCAGTCCGGCTCAACCAAGCGGTCTTCAATTGGCACGCAAGACGGCGACGTCTACAACACACCTCATCCGACGCATCTCTAAACGATGTGGCAGAGCGGGGACTGAGGTAGCCCAACGCCTAGTTAAGTGCGTGCTTGAACCTCGCCTGATATACCAAGCTCAGTTCCAGCGTCTCACTGCCTCTCAATGGAAGACTCAAAATCATCAATAGGGCGCCATTCGCGGTAATACCGGTCTCCTTCGACATACCCCTACCTAGCGCCGGTACGAGGATGCGCAACTAAACGCTATTGAACAACTTGTCATTCAACCCAGAGAAGCTCTCAATTTGAAGCATACCCACTCTTTTGAACGAGGAACCTCCCCGCTGCTCTCCGTACGTTGGGGCTCCCCCGCCGCCCTGGTACTACAGTACGATTACTACCAACAAGCCAGCGACCCTACGCACGCGTCCGCCTGGCTCCGCGCCACCACGAATGTAGCAGGTTGCGAACGCGAGCACGAACGAGTTGGCTTTAGATGTGTTCACCGACGGAGCAACGTGCCGATATGGCATCGCTACCGCAGTGCATTGCCCATCTGAGACATCCATTAACACATCGGCATTCTATGCCACACAACTGGACGATCCGCTCATCGTGGAGTTATAGCTCATTCGGGACGTCATCCAAGCTTGAACGTGGATGCCCTATATCACTCGGGTGCGCGTTCACACTGATTGTGCCTCTGCCATCCGACATCTCAAGTCAACGCGCCCTCCGCTAATAGATCTGCCATGAGATTCTTGCCTTACATCGTACATCCTGTAAAGAAGTCCGGATTCGCTGGACCCCTGGCCACCAGTATGGTACTCACCAGGACAAAGCCCACCAGACCGCTCAAGCCCTGATTGAACGGCCCCCCCCCCCTCCCCCCGCCTTCATTTCGGAGGAGCCGGAGGCCTCACTCGTTATGGGCAAGGCCCGCATACCGCTCCCATTTCAGATGAACCGGAGGCCTCAGTCGTCGTGGGCAAGGCCCACATAGGTTCGATGCGCGTGCATTGATTCCCGCGCGCCCACATCCCCTCCTGGGGGCCTACCCCGGCGGGAGGAGGTCCTCCTCACAAGGATCCAGAGAGATTCCGCAATCATCCCGGCAATCTTGGCCTCCTGCGGCCGGGGCCCCGATGATGCCAGCACGGCTTAGCACTCCCCCCCCCCCCCCCCTCCCCTCCTCCCCCTGCTCTGCCAGGGTGTCCGCAGTAGGCCTATGACGCCTTCTCTGGAATTGCCCAAACCTGCAGACCCTCCTCCTCTCCCTGACTCGGGCACGAGGCCTTAACCTGGCCGCCCCTGAGGACTACCACAAATCGACTAGAGTCAACGCGCATGCCGTAGCCCTACTGTGTTTCACACGGGATGCACATATGGCTCACCTCATCTAAACAATCAAGATCTGCTTGTTACACGAATAATAAAAATAAGTGTACACTGCTAGGTAAAATTAAAGCCCCTTGATAAAAGCGTTTTTGACAAGTACCGCCAACCATTGTTGTGGAAGCGCGCGAGACACGTGCCATGAGCGGGTGCTCCGCCGCCATTCGCTTCCAAGGCCCGCTCATTTCAGTGCTGCGCCGCCATTTGCTTCCAAGGGCCGCTCGAGACATGGGCCTCGTGCACTCGCGCATTTGACGCTACTTGCAAGACAAACGCAAACACATCGAGGGGCTTTAGGTAAAATCATTTGATAGCGCCTCTGTGCGGTCAACCTAGTAATACTGGGCAATTTATTATTTCGAAGCGTTTAATTTTAAATGCCAAGTGTAGTTTAAATTTATTTGACATGATCACTTAGTTGAAACTAGGTAGACGCAGCACACAGTTGACCTTTGAGTGTTGCAGATACGATCACGGATGCTCTTGAGATGTCGTGCGCGTTGCACAGTCAAGGCTGGTTCACGCACCTGGCGCCATATATCACCTTGTAACATCCGTCTTGCGTATATTTTCAATTGTCTTTTGCGCATAGCTTCCGATTTTTTTTTGCGCGTAGCTTTGTCATTATTTGTTTGAAAAACACTTTTGACAATATTGCGACAAAAACGACGACTCTGGGGCAGTGGTGTGCCTACGGTGGAAGAAACACATTTAGGTGATGACTCTCTGTCCGACGCGGCGGCCACATTATGTTCGGCGCACCGAGAGCGCTTCACTCGTGCGGGGACAGATGGCGCCCAAGTATGGGGTCCCTCCCAAACCGACCACTCCAGTTGTTTCTCCGAGCGGTGGTCCCGCATTCTCTCGCTCAGCGCTTCTTGTTGTACCTCACCGCCGCAATGCCGCCACCAAGTCACCAGAGTCTGTAAATTTGTGTTCTCTTCCTTATACTTCTTCGGGTTAAGGCTCACCTTCATGCACGATGGTGGCACTTGTGATCGACACAGCACCAAAGCAAAACACGAGGCCAGCCACTGGCCGCACACCACCCATCTCACCACCACACCGCGCAAAGAAGGGCGAGCACGTTACTTCGCCGACACCGTGGCCGACGAGGAGGGAAACTCATACCTCAGCGCCCTCCGCAGCGGCGCGGAATTAACTACTCCTGATTCGAGGCTAGCTCCTAACACGATCTGGTCATTCGCTCTTTGCGGGAAGAGTGGCCAGAGTCATCACCTAAATGTATTTCCTCCACCGTGAACGTTCCTGACCATCGCGCGCTAGGCTTTGCGCGCACGGCCCGGATTCCCCAAAATCTTGCTATCTCATTGAGTGAATACGTCTTTGTCACTAGCTGCCGGGCGCACATCATCGTAATGCGTAATGTTTGGTGACGGTGCGGGGTACCATCGTCTTTCACTCTTTTTCATCATCTATCCGGAACTTGTTTGCAGCAGTCTTCCGCCGCAGCCGATTGACCTCCAGACCACGGCCGCGCCGCACAGCACCCGCCCCGCGAACTGCCGCAAATGCCGAAGTGACTGTGAGACGGAGTTTCAGCGAAGTTGAGCTACGAGGGTTTTTATGAAGTTACGAGCGCCGTGAGCAAGACGAACTATATATTGTTAGCTTCCGGAGGGAGGGACGAGAGCGCAGGAACGTCGAGCCAGGTTAGGGTTTTAGATGACATATTTAAAAAAATGAGGGGATCAATGGTCGCTCTCGGCTCAAACAGACCGAGTGTTTCTTTGGTCGCGCGCTCCCCTGGTCCGACGCTCCCCTTTTTATATACCGTACGTTGATGCACGTCACGGGTTGCGCAGCCTTCGCTCCCGTTGATTGGTAGGGCGGGAGGTGGTGGCGACAGCAATTTGGCCGCAGCCAGTTGTTCAGGATGGCGCGAGTCTTTCGAAAATAGTTGATGAAGAAGAAGTCGCGCGCCGTGGCATGCTTGCGGATGGTAAGTGCCCGGATGCTGGCATCTCTAGCGCAGGTCAGTGTTTCCACTCTTTAACAATATGGACGAAATCAAGAGACAGACTCGAGTTTATGGTCCCCTGCCCTGTCCTCAGCCCCGTTTGTGTTGATACCAGTCAGATGCATGCACCAGCCCGTATCGTGATGTCGTGGAACTGTGGCTGGCACAGAGATCGGCAATGCTGTGGGTGGAGGCTGCAGGTTCAAGAACGTTTTCTTCCTGCGCGGCCGACAGCAGTCCTTTGTCTTTTTATATGCCTTCGTCTTTGTCTTCTATGTGTGTGTTTTCAGTTTACTCTCGCGTTTCCTTCATTTAAGGGTAAATAATATGGAGACGACGACGACGCTGGGGTAATGGCGTGCATGACCATCGCGCGCCAGGCTCTGCGCGCACGGCCTGGCCAGTGATTCCCCCCTCCCCCTCCTTGCTTTTCTGAAGGCACCCCCTTAATTCGCAACGACTCCTCTATTCTCAATGCCCCCCCCCCTAACCCCCCCCCCCCCCGGCCCTAAAATTTAGACACCCCCCCTAATTTCAATTCCTGGCGAAACCCCTGGGCCCGGCTTCCATAAAATATTTTTAGCTCAATGAGTGAATACGTCTTTGTCACTTGCTGCGTGTCGCGCATCATCGTAACAGCGACTATTTCTCATAGATAGTACGTACTTGATCTCGCAAATACTGTACAACCTTCAGTCTAATTATACTCAGGTCAAGGGCTACCCTATAGATGGTGCCAGCGTGCCAGTGTGCTACTTGTGTTCTTAGTGTGTACTCTTGTAAGCGATCATAAGGGAACCCAACGCACTCAGCTGCTCTCAGAAACGAGTGTGCGAACGAACCTTAACGAAACAGGACACTGAACATAAAACTAGAAACCACTCGTATACCTATATCTTTTATTTAATAACTTGTATGAGAAATCGGCCTGTAACATGAGAAATTATTAAAAGTAGGAGTCGAAGGAATGACCCGAAAGTCTCGTGTGAGATATCTTATTATATTTCTCTGCTTCTCTTATAAGGGCCTTCCGCTTATTGGCTTTGTCGGAGCAAATCATGGTTTAAAGTCTGGGAAAGTGTGAACACGCTACTATGCGAACCGTATTGGCAACACGCACGACTGGTGTTATCGGCCAGTTTGTTCCTTGTCAACAACCATTGGTAACAGTAGGTTCGAGACTAGTTATGGTACGCTCAATTCCAACATGCCTAAGTATGGTGTCAACAGGCTGCACTGCACACAACACGCACTGGGCTAAATTCAGTTCATCAACTTATTCTGGACACTATTCCGGTGCATGGAGACTGCCGTAGTCTGTCTGCTCATGATATGTACAGTGCATCCTCAAGACTGCGTTGACACTACGTCTCCTAGAATCCTCCGCTGCGTCGCTGCAGGGACCTCCCGGAAGAACATCCTCCAAGCAGAATACTCGTTTGGCACAATTCCACACTGAAACGAAAAAAAAATACAATAATTATACTATATGTGCAACAGCTTTACCCGAGAGTCGTAGTTGTAGGTGCACCACAAGATGCAGCGTTAATTGTAGCTTACATTTTCTTCTTAGCTTAACATCTTCATCAAACTTTTATCCAGCGGTCAATTGAATATTCCATCGAGGCGAGCCATCTGGAGGAGGAAAAAATGCCAGGTGAGCAAAGCATCCATTATTCGCTCAAGTTTTATGCTGCTCTGCACTTATGAATAATTTGAAGGCCAATCTAGGCATATTGTTCTGGCGTCATGAGAAAAGTTTATAGGAGTTGTCAACAGATAGCCCACTTGTTAGGGGTCTCGTCTTGCTGAAGTGACGAACACCGAGCATTGCTACGTGGGTGATTGATTCCACGTCAGCTCATGCAATGATGGTCCGGGTCATAATTTTGATATTTTTGTTAAAAATATATAGAAAAGCCATGTTCTTGGGAGGAACATTCAGGTATATATTGTCACGAATGACAATCGATGAGCCGATGATAACTGAAGAAACTAAACGTTTAATGGGGCGAACTTGTGCCCCAAACAAAAAGGAAACAGAAGATAACAAGAGAGCGTCGCGGGCGTCAATGGCGGCGTAACAGCAGGATCGTACGCCGGGCCAGACCAACGAGGTAGAGGGGCCTAGAGTGATAAACCGGAAGTTCGGAAGTGGCACCCCCCCGGTTGCCGCCATGTTGTACGTAAAAGTGATCACTCGTCACGTGACCTCACAAGAGCCGTGACGTCATCGGTAAGATGGCAGCGCCCAGAGCTAGCGGATGCGTGTTTGTTCGGTGCGCGGTAGCCGTGATGTGCAGCTGCTTTCCGACGACATCTGGCTTTTTCGTGCTCACTGACGCAGGTGTAATGTGAAAACGCGAAGGAATGAGACTTGTACCCTTTTTGCGCAAGATCGCTTTTGATCATCTGAATATTAACGCCTATGAGACAGCATCAGCCGTATCACCGTACCGGTGCTCGGATTCCCGGATGTGTTCGAGGATCGATAGAACTTTGAGTGCTTTTAGCATGAAAGTTTCGCATTCTCTTAGCTTTGTTTGAATGTTGGAATGTCTGAGAATCGGCGCGAAATGTATGCGTCGCACGTAGGGCCTAGGGGAATTCGTTTCAGCCCTAGGTAACTGCATAATCACAGCCAACTTTTAGCGAGAAAGCTTCTGCGATCTTTACGTTTTGTACTTGTGAACAATTTTACGATCCAACTCCTAGCATAAAATATTCGCACCTTCCTACCTTCATTTGAACGTTGGAATGTCTGAAAATGGAAGCGAAAGGTATACGTCGCGTTAGGACCTAGGGGAAGTTGTTTCAGCCCTGCGTCACCGAATGACCGTAGCAACTTTAAACGAGGAAGCTCCTGCGATCTTTAACATTTTGTGCTAATCGACGATTCTGCATTCGATCGCTTTTCTTCCTTTTTTTTTGTGTGTGCGAAGTGCACATTTAGTTTTAGCTCCGAGGAGGACGTTTTATTGAGTGTGGGAATGAATAAATCGTTCAAGGCACCTGCTTCAAAGCTATTCAACTTGCTATAAGAACATCCGTTTTGGTGTACGCATAGATTAACTGCACATTTTTGTCTTTCGTAGGATTTATTGCAGCAATACTTTCTTTCATCAAGAGTGCATTGTATTAGTCGGTCAATTATTTACTTGTTTTAATTACCTGGACAAGATTATTCATATTTGTGTTCATTTCCTGCCTGAAGAGCAGTCTTGTTGAAAAATGTTGACTACAATTCCTTTCAGTCTCTTCAATAGACTTTTTTCAAAAGTGTGGACTGCCTATACTTTGTATCACCGTAACTTGGAGTAGGGCAACCGCCATAGCCCCCTCGAGCCAACCAGAGAGACGGAGTGAAGGTGTATGACAAATCTGTGCAGACAAGCACTCTGATGATATGTTTCATGTGCCTCTCTCCAACGTGCATATTGACTCACCGAGACTGTAGCCTTTGCCATTTACGAAACCGTGATGAAACGAATTACAGTAACTACTACCTTAATTACCCATGGCCTTCATACTTTGGGCATTTGTTCAACAAGTATATTATGTCCGTCATTACTGTGAACTCGGCTGAGCGCCTATTGGACTCGAATGCTGCATTAGCGTTCGACGTGAACTGGGGCCAATTCGTTTGCTTTACGCCGAAAAAAAAATGGCGACAGTTGTGTTGCCTGATGGGGTTTTGCAAAGGGTTTATTGTGTCATACGTATAGGAAGTGTTCTGCTATACAACAATGCTTCAACACAAACTTTTAAGCTAGATGCTCACAGGTGGGTTTGTTTTTGTAATTAACAAGTTATAGCTATGCTTTTAACGTTATTATCATGTGTGTAATTTTAAGTATCCTCTCTGCAATGCCTACAAAGGCCCCTGGAGGGAATAAATTAATAAATAACATATTCACATCACTGGAGTTAGTTTTTGGATGCGCCACGTGTTCAGGAGAAGTGGAACGAGTACAGCCCAATGCAACCAGTGTGCAAGTCTGGTATGTCCCATTAATTAATATTAAGGGGTCAGAGATGCGAATGTCTTCCAAAGGTTCAGCACGCGCGGTGAACACAATTCTTTCCGTATAGACTCTGAAGGCGTGAAGGCGAGCGGAAATATGTTTATTTGGTCAGCGTCTCAAATATGTTTATTTCCACTTGATTACATAAATATTGGTTCTTTGCAAATGGTTTCATAACGAGTTCTTTCTGTGGCAGTCTGGTGTCAGGTGTTCAGTCGTAGTACCTGTGCTCTTTTTTGCCGGATGATGCGTCTGGCACGTCGGTGTTCAGTTTGGTCGAGTGGCAACATTGACCGACTGATGCCGTCTTGTAATTATACGTCATGTGTGGCCACTGACATCTGATGCACTGAAGCTGCAGGGCTGGCTTCTATTCCGCAAATTTTCTGGTAGTTTTCTGCATCAATGCAGCAAGCTCGGGCATGTATTGCTTACATGGCTGTGCCTTTTGCTGTACCGTTGACTTGATAGCTGGCAACAATGTTTTTTTGCTATCCAAGCCATTTCACTTCCATTTCGTAATGACGCTTTTTCTGCATCTCGCGACCACTGCAACTTGTGAGTCTCGTGTGGCAAAGTGAAGTCTGGTGACGCTTGGAGTCCACTTTTGAGATCAACCAACTATTCTATGTCTTCAAGTCACTCAGCGGCATTCTCCCTCAAAGTTGGAAATTGTGTGCTTCGTGGCGTGGACACAGATAATTAGTGTCAGCAAATTATTAGGTATTGTCCTTGGACGACAACTGACACCAAATCAACTGTCCTTGCATTGCCGCTAACCTGCTTTGCTGTGCTTACCTTTTGTCCAGATGAAGGGGATCAGGAGCTTCGGGGTAATGTCGGCACCAGGGACAAAGGCCGCCGAAGGTAATCCTCAATGTTCGTTCGGCGCGAACCCTTGCAGGCCAATTCATTGGTACGGGCACCTCCAGTAGACACGGTCGGCATCGTGCAGTGGTAGCAGAGTAGTTTTCGGTCGACCTTTCGTAGCACCTCCGTTTTCCTCGGTGTACTTTGTTCAGCGCGGACCTACACTGGTTCTTCCCGATGTTGGGAATGCTTCGGCGTTGGGGTGTCTCGTTGAATTGGCATTGAATAGTAACGGATGGCCGGTGGCGGTCGTCGTGATTTTGTGGCATAAGTCACCCTCGGTTCGTCAGATGCCACTTCGCTAGAGGAAGTCTCCAGTTTAAATGCCTTTCGAACTTGTTCCGAAACAACCTCGGCAATCAAAATAAAAGCCGGGAAACTGATGGCAGGAAGTAGCTTCCTGATTTCCTCTACAACGTTGTGGATGATGTCGCGGATGCCCTGGGAGGCTGGCGTCGAAGTTGCAGCTGGACGACTCGAGTGTCGAGACGCTGGGGAGTTGTTGATATTGACAGGCTCGGGCCTGGCAGTGTACATTCAATGTTGGAAGCCTCGGTGATATGTACCCTTCGACTATTGTCGTGGGGTTGCGGATAATTCTGCCGAAGGTATTGTCCCTCACATGAGGGACATGGGCTTCTTAGCGGGTTGTCTTCTGTAGCATCAGGGTTGGCGTGGGTGCTCGATCAGGCGCAAAACATCCCTCGAGAAAACGGTGACGCTCTCGTTGGGGCCGCGTCCTGGACAGAATCAGGAATTCGGCTCTCTCTCGTTGGCTGATGAACGTGCACTTCAGCTTGATCTTGCAAACTTCCCACGACGTTAAGGAGGATTCGTGGTTTTCAAACCAGTGCCTGGCAGTTTCTTCCACGAGAAGTATAGGTTTTGCAGGAGCTGGTTGTCCGTCTGCCCACTGTGGCGGGCGACACGGTCATATTGTTCAATCCAGCCCTCGACGTCTTCATACACCTTGCGTGAAAGACCATCAGAGTGCGAGGTGCGACGGCCATGCAAACGATGGTGGGAACGGACGCGGCTTGCTGCTACAGGTTTGTCATTGTTGGCTTAGTCAGCTTCAGTTTTTCTGGCAAAAGACCGAATTCAGGTGGTTCTTGCTGGTAGCAGCGACTGGCTCGGATTTCAAGTTCTTTGTGGTGTATTTCCGAGGTTCGTCATTGTGGTACTCGCTCGTCTTGCGGTTTTTCTGCCGGAATCGGGATAGGACTTGGTTCACGGCTCGCCGGGGGTTTAAGACGTGGAATAATCCGCCACCCGTGTCTTGTTATCGGGCAACTCGGGTGAGGAGCCGCTAGGATCGACACAGAGTGAACGGCTATGGGTAAAGTGCGCAGCACCTCCACCGGAACATACGATGGCAACTGAGCATGGCCTGGAACTTTCCAGAATAGTAAATATTGATAGAAAATAGGACTGGAGCAAGCATCCGCGACATTATAACAAAACAGACAGAAGAGAGTCTATTATGACAACTAAAGAAGCTGCGTTGCTTTAGTGGCATTCTGTCCGAACAAATCCTCTCCTTCGGGATTTGGCGACTGCCGTGGACGAGCTGAACTGAAATGGATGTGGGACCACTTTTCTGGTAATGAGCAGCTGCAGACTGTCGTCGCAAAGCGGCGTGAACGGGTGGACTGGGTAGGTAACACGCGCGATGAAATGTCCATACAGCTTGCAATTCGCGTAACGAGTGTTGATGAGACTTTTGTGTCGACGAAACGT